CAAAGATACAGGAACACTTTTTATGTGCAATAAGCAAGAATCAGGTCAAAGTACAGCCCTTGGACTTGCGAAACAAGCCTTTCCACGATACACCAATCAGCAAGAATGGCTGAGAATCCTCCACTGCTCTCACCTTCCCCGGCCTAGCCCCAAAATCCTAACTCAAAGAAAGGCAAGTTCTTGCACGTTGCACATTTCAGACAGGTTTCAGAAGCAATCACAAGTGGTGAGACTGCCAAACCAAGCTGGATTTTGATGTGAAAGGAGAAATCTGAGAGCTGCCTGCTTAATGCTGAAGAAAACCAAAGCTGTCGAACAAGCCACAATTGAGAGAAAGTGAGCTATCCACGAAAGGTAAAATTGTTATTACTCTTCAGTGCACCAGTAGTTCCCCTGGAAAGGAAGTGACTTCACTCTGACTGTGGATTCAGTGAACATTTTATACTCATTGCGGAAGAGGAACTGCTCCTGTAGCTGGTGACATCTGCAAGCCTTCCTCCAGCACACAGCTTGGCACATCTCTTCTAGCACACAGTCCATTATCTGCAATAAACATGCATAGGAGCTCCCCAGCCCAGCACAAGACTGTTGCTTCTCTTATGTGATGTATATGCATCATCCTCCTTGGCTTGTGGTTTGGAGACTCGGGTGATTAAAAATAATCACCTCTCTGTCCAATTCTGGGAGTTGCCTGAGCTGTGCATTCTGCCTGAGTGCAGGAAGTAATGTATAACTTAGACAATGCAAAAGAGCCTGCAAAAAACCTGCCTTGGAGCTCTTCAGCGGCGTTTCAGTTCAATGGCTCACAGTGCTCTGGGAAGAGGCAAAGCCTGAATGAAACGGAGCAGGGAATATTTATGCATCCTGCTCCAGTGAGTGAATGCATCCACTGAAGCCAGGCTTCATTCAGCCTCCCCCTATACACACCTTCAGAGTAAATGTGCAAATGCAGAGTAAATCCCAAGGGTTGTGAAACAGCAGTGCATGGCTATCCTAGAGCCTATAAAAAGCACCCCCCCTTTTTCCCAGCCAAGTCTGGATCAAAGCAGAGCCAGCATTTGCAGGTCTGCTGGAACATGGCTCACACACACTCTTGTCATGCTTTATGGAATAAGAGCTCAATACATAATTTATCTACTACACACGCTTGTGAAGTAGTAATTACACTACGCATGCATAAAAATCAGACAATGAATTTAAATGACCTGTTAAAGGCCACAAAACAAGTTGGTGGTTAAGTCAAGAAAATTGCAGCTACCTCTGAGTAATCTGCTATCAGAGCATGCAATGTGTTACTGGACTCATTTCTCTTAGTGAAAAAAGTACCATATGAAACCAAGCAATTCAGCTCACACCTTCTGGGTTACTAATCAAGCTTATAGAACAAAAGAAGTTGATCTTTCATTATTCATACCATTAACTACATTGTAAACTACTTAACAACCCTTCTAATAAGAGCCAAACATGGGCAGGCATATTAAGTACAAACAGTTAAAATACAAATTTGGGTTCACACACAAATATTTACCAGCTTAGCTGTTAACACTGAACCTCACTTTTCAAGCAGTGATTCTCACAGGGCCCTAAGGACTCTTACTCCTACATGTCAGAAATTTTTTTACTGATAAAGACTATGTTTGTGAACTAAGAATCCATGCCTTTTCTGTGAAAAACCCAAACAAGTACAAGACAAAACGTTCAAGCCCGAAGTTATTCTATTGCAGAGATAAGCCAGAAGTAGCACTTGTAAAACATGAATAATAATACCAACCTCCATAGTATGACATTTAGTATTTCTGTATTGCAGTGTGTGTGTATCTATAAATCTATCTAGATATTTATCTCACTGAGAACACAACTGCTGTTTAGAATAGGGAAGCAAGTACAGAGAAAGAATTTAATTTTCAAATATTAAAACCACCCCAGCTCTGAGGGGCAAGGCTGCAGAGAGATGCTATTTGGTAAACTGAGTTAAGTTACTGCTACAGGGCCATTAACAATGACTGGACTATAGTAAAAAAGAAACTAAACACTATAAATCTGAACTCCAAATCAGCAAGACTTTGAGACCAGGAATAGAGTCCTGCATCACACCTTGTCTCTGTAGATCTGATAATAACCCAAGCACTAGCCACTCTGCACACTGGATTGCAACAGAGTGTCACATACATGTAGATACTGTGCATTTATCACTAAATCAGGTAAAGGTGTTTGCGTATCACTAAATCAGGCAAAGCTAAGTGTTTGCAGCATAGGTAAGAAACTCTGCAGAACCACTGTCACTCAAAGAGGATCCTCCAAATCCAAGGTGCAGAAGCTTAAAGCCATGTACTGACAGTCAGTTCCTTAAATCCTGAAATTGTGACTCAGTTTTATCTCCCAAAAAGTAGAACTGAATTCAACCAAACCCCACATGATTTTCACAGAGCTTTTCAATGCCTTGAACCTACTGAGGAGTGATTTGGTGCTATTCTGCCCTTTCATATGTTGTGTAAAATGGCAGGCTGCTTCTACTGAGTTCTTACAACCACAGTGGCCTTTTCCTTCCTGGAAGATGCAAGTCTGACTTTTTTGAAAAGGAGTTTTGAACTTAAAGCAGGAAGAAATAATCCATGCCTATTTGTAACCCTCACAGCATGCTGCCAACCAACATTTTCCCTTACAGCTGTGCAACAGCATTCAAAACACATCCACACACAGCCCCTCCTGGAGACAAAACACCTAGCTGAGAAAACAGTGAGCACATTTCTCCCCAGGAATAAGCAGCAATCTTGCTTTGCAAAGCTGCTGAGGGTGGCAGGTTTGGTTTTGTTTAACTAAAGCTCATTCCCTCTCTAGGCACTGCACTTTGCAGAGGGAAAATAAATAGGCTGGAAAAAACCCAGAAGCATGCAGGGGAGAACCTGCAGGGAAGCACGCTGCAGTGTAAACAGGGAGGCAGAGCAGGGCTGGGGGTCAGGAGGGCAGGGCTGGATCTGGTTTGGGGAGTGCAGGTACAGCCCCTGCCCTACACCAGGGCGGAGGCAGGAAAAGGGGGCCAGGAGCCACTTTCCAAAAAGGAAATTTCACCCTGCCCAGGATTTCCAAACTGCAATAATTTTCCACGGGCCAATCAGGGAGGAGCAAGGCAAACGCACCAAATTAGGAAAGTAAATACTAGAAGGGGGAGAGGAAGGAGGAGGAGGAGAACCCAGCAACCACCTCCCAAAGGCAGTAGTGGGAGAGGGGTCTGAGTTTCACGCTGAGCCCCACCAGCCCTCCAAGCTCTGCCTCTGGGAAGGAGGAGAGGACATTGCCAGCCTCACCCAGCACTGTGAAGCCACCAAGAGAGCAAAGAACTGCCCTGGAAGTCAGATGGCCAGAATGCATAGCTACATGCTCCCAAAGGAGCATTCCCTTCTCAGGCAGAAACACCCAAATCACTTTCCCAAAGCCTGGCCCACAAGAGAGAGCTGCAAGATCCTGCTGGGGGAGAGGGAAAGGCTGGAGGGGCTGAGCAGGGATGTTTACAAACGTGTCAGCCCCTCCTCTGTAAGAGGAACTCGGAAATTAAAGGGCTTCGGCAAGCGAAACCTCAGATGTCTTTTGAGGTTTTCTGAAGCCTTGGCTGGATTAGCTTCTTCTCAAGACAAACGGATGCAATCATTAATCATCCTTAGTAAACACTGCATTAGGGGCTGAGCACAATTCAACACTACTATTTCCACTTTCTCCTTATGCAAAAGAAACATTCTCAGGGAATCAAATATCGGTTGCAGGCATATGCCAGAGTCAAAAGATACAGCCTCTGTTAGTAACACAAACCACACTGTGCTGCTTTGCACAAGATGACTGAATGGAAACTAACTACCATATGTTGGCAAAGGAACCATCCCCCTCCCCTCCCAGCAACAAGCTTCATCTAAAAAGAGAAGGTTAAATATAAACTAAAAGCAGTCCCTGAACAGAGGACTAAAACCACAGCTACCTCCAGCCCCCTCTTTCTAGAATATCTGCACTGCACATCTGTGCAGCTCTGTAAGACGGTCGGAAAAACCCAAACAAGCCTCCGGATCATGCGAACCCAAACTGGCTTCATTGTGACACTGAAGTCTCGGTCTCAGCCACGCAGATTTGAATACTACTCACTGAATTAGTGCTGTAAGAAGAGATTTGCATATTATACCTTTTTACAAATGTACAGACAGGAAAACAACCCGAAGGCTACTACTATTACCAGGCACACTCTTGCTATTTTGATGCTCACACATTTTAAAATTCTAATATATCATTCTATACCACGAGTCTCCTTTACTTTATAAAATGAATTATACTTCAAGTAACAGATTTAACTTTAAAAGATTTCACTGAAATACTGTAACCTCAACTCTTTACTGAAAAGGAAGGAAAATATTCCATACAATAACTTGATGTTCAGCTTATTTCTACTGCACATCCATGGATCAGATCACTTACAAAACAGGATACTCGCCCAGATGTACATTTAGATTGCTACAGCCCCTCAGTACATGGTCAATATCCTACCCCCATTTCCTTCCATTCCCAGGAAACTGCGTGCCAATGGCCACCCTTGTCCCTAACTTCAGATAACAGCAGCACCACCCAGCAACAACAGAATATTACTGAGATAAAAATAAAACAGGCAGTCTTAAGATAGAAAGTATATGCCTGCTTTCTTTTCTGCATGCATATAGGTAGCTCTCAATAAATATTTCTAATTCCACTGCCAAAGATAGACTCTATATGTAACTCTATAGTGTGAAACCACACTCACGTTTACCCTTGAGCCCTCTAAGTTCTTAAACAAGCTCCTAAACAAAACCCTTGTGCTCTACTGCCAGATACCATAGTGTATTTTAGCAGTCTTCCATTGTTTTAAACATCAGAGATTTAACCATCAGTTGTTTTTAATGGGGCATTTCTTGCACCAAGGATACCAAACAAAACAAGGGCTGACAGACTGATGTAGGAGAACACATTTTTGAGAATCAACATCTTACCTGATAGTGCCTGTGGGGGATGGGAGGGGACTGACCACGCTCCGGAGATCCGGCTCCGGGATGTGAATCTTCAGAGGTGAAATTTGAGGGTAAAGTGGCCGAAGGGGATGTGTTGAGGCTTCCTCTTTTACTTCCTCTTTATGGTATAAAGATGTGAACTGGATCTTTATAACCGTGCTAGGAAATCGGAAAGTACATCTGGAAGGGAAAGAAAGGGGAAAGTCAGTTTCACACATGATACTGAATGTATTTAAGAAGTTTTGTATGCAGTTGATGCATCATTAATTAAAGTCCACCATTCTTTACTGATCTTTCTGCCCAGTGTCTTGGGCAGAATTACTTATCACAGTAAATCATGGGTCATCTAGAGATGAGATGCAAGCTGAAGGTTTGGGTAAGTTCAGTGATTTCCTCAAGGCCATGTATTCAATCAGTGTCTAAGCAAGATACACTCCTGTAACAACAAACTCTTGGGTTCCTTCTATGTATCAAGCACTAGGATCTATATTCAATTAGCTCACTGCACGCATCTCGGGAAGATTCAAGTCACTAAAAGTATCAAACCACAAGCAATAGGGAGCAAAACAGCCATGAAGTCCAGGCAGAGCAACAAACAGCCTCCAGGTAAGACCAGAGAGCGCTATTTAAAGACTTGTCTCTATATACTGTATAATTGTTATCCATTTATATTTGTGCACATGATGTTAAAGGATCATCTAGCAGGTTTCAGATTAAAATGCATTCCTTTAGAAGTGCCTTCCTTTAGGGTTACAGCTAGCAGGTTTAGAACAGGGCCCCTGCAAGCCTGTGGGGCCTCATTTTTTCTCAAAGTAACACTTCTTTCCAGTTGTTATTTAGGAAAAAAAAATAACCACACAAGTGCAGCCTTCAGGAGACACTTGGAAATGCAAAAGGAATTAAGCACTGACATTTTCCATATTTGAACAGAAAGCTTTCTAATTTACAGTGTCTACAATGAGCACAAGGCTGTAAGAGCGAGTGTTCTGCAATTCTTCTTATTGCACTTTAATTAGACAATCATGTGCAATCAATACAAGCTTTCCAGGGATCATTTCGCTGATACTAAGGTTAAAGCAGCAGGAAATATAAACCAGGTTTCACCGTGGGAAAGGCCACAGAGCACAGTAATTGTGCTGGATTCCAGCATCTTGCCTATAGAAGGAAAGGAAGGGATTTGGTGTTGTTCTAGCACTAAGTGCTGGTGTGGGCTAAGCAGAATTCTTGTAGCCAGTACATTATTGAATCCTTCCAGGTAACAAAACAAGGTGACAACTAAGTCAATGTGTTTTTGTGACCACCTTATCTTAATGCTTCTATTGACAGAAATGCAGCTCTAAAACACGCTTGCTCTTGGTTCTTTGGCACAAGCTGGTTGTGCTGTAAGGTAATGCTCAAAATTATCGTTCAGGCATGGGAAACTCATTCCCATCTCCCACCTCATCTCTCAAATGAGCTGGCTCAGCATTCAGTGGCTCACAATGGCTCTGCTAGTACAGCAGGAGTTTGCATTGCATTTCATTCACTTCAGAGGTCCTGCCACCTGCACTCATTAATGCATTAAATAAGAACATCATTGCTGGCAATGCAGCCTAATTGTGTTTATCTAACCCTTCTTAACAGGGCTCCCTGCAGACTCAACATGAAGGCACAGTTCAAAAAAGCAGTGTTGGTGCCTTGCAGTGTCTGCCAGCAGCAGGCATCAACCTCCTGATATGAACCTGAAACAAGGATGTTGAACCACTGCCCTGGATTTTAAGCTTTGTACTGCTACATGGATTTGCTTAAAAAGAAAAAGCTCAAAGTACATACATTTGCAATGAGCATCACATGGACTAAGGCTCAAAATCAGTATGAGCAAAGCTTCATCATTTCTCAAGCCCTTATCAGAGAAAAGCTGAGTTGCCTGTCACAGAGCAATGAAATTCTCTGCTGTAACACCAACTGCTCAGCATTTTCCAACACCTGAGTCAAGGACAAATCAGTCTCTGTTCAGCAGTGCTCAGTGCAATCCCAGGCAGTTTTGCAGCACTGCTGAGGCCAGGAGATCCCCCACTACAGCTTTGTAACAGTAAGGAGCTCTACCCCACTGCCACTTATGTCTTCCTTTTCAGAAGGACCCAGTGATGCAAGATCCATAGCTCCTAAATTGCTCTGAGGTAATGGTAAAGTAATTCCTTAACTCCACTTACTGATGCTGCAGCAATATTAGACAAAAAGTGATACATGCACCCAAACCACTGTGAGAGGCTGTTCCATCAGCCTGTGAGTGTGGACAATCTTAAGAAAATCTGTTACTTTTCCAAAATCATGGCTCAAGCTGAAATGTGAAGACTAAACTAAGGCAGTAAACGTGCTGCAAAGGCCCATCCAGCACTGCTTTTCCTGTGAGCCTCCCCAGAGCCACCCGATCCAGCCATGTGATTTACCCGCAATCTCAGCCTGCAACCAGGGAGAGAAACAGAGCCCGGGCTGACTACACAAGCAAACAATTTGTTGGCTGCTGTGATTTTGTTTTTGCAGACAGGCTTCTCAGTTCACTGAAGCAGAACCCAGGACGTACAACCAGCTTTCATGGATTATGGTAACACACACGAACATGGCCATTTTGTAAGGAACTAGTCCCAGGAAAAGCGGGGAGTGGATATATGCAAGAGTGCTCACAGCTTTAGAAAGTCCTACAGCCTGCTCTGTGCTTCAGTACTGACATGGCCTGCAAAGCCAAGCTGGAGGTAATGTAGCCAAAGTTATGCTTTTCCTTGTCTTGGGTTGCAGTGCAAGATGTAACCAAAAGTATGTATTCCATTACCATCTGTTAAAAACAGGCAGTGTTGTTCATCTCTTCCAGGAGCCATCCTCCCTCCAGGGGAATATCTTCTGTTAATGAGCCATTGAGTCTCACTGCAGGACTGATAAAATTACAACATCTCAGGGGGAGGAGCCAAGCATTCCTACCTGGATATAATCTGAGACTGGGAACACCGCAGGCAGCCTTTCTCCACTGGATTCCCAGAGCAAGACCAGACCCATCTACACCACCACTGGACCTTCAGAGGAAAGCTACTGATCCTTCTACAGGGTCACTGCTTCAACAGAACCCCATCTGTCACCCCAGGAGGACAGCAGCCACCATTTAATCAAACTGCTAGCAGCACCCTGACCAGCAGGGTGTCAGGTTCTATTCTGACTCTGTCAGTGGGCTGTTTTTGTACAGCAGCATTTTTATTTTAATTTTCCTAGTAAAGATCTGTTATTCCTATTCCCATATCTTTGTCTGAGAACCCCTTGATTTCAAGATTATAATAATTCGGAAGCAGGGGAGTTTTCTCATTTTTCCATTTCAAGGGAGGTTCCTGCCTTCCTTAGCAAACACCTGTCTTTTCAAACCAAGACACTGATGTAAAAACCTGCAACCCAAGAAATGGAAATACAATGCAAAGCCGATTGTAAATTCCTGCGGAACTCCTCCCTTCCCTCAAGGGTGAGAAGGTGCCTGAGATTAAGGTTATTGTTCCAGTCTGTCACAACCACCACAGCAATGCAAACAGGGGCACCAGCACAACCCAAACCACTGCTTCAAATCAACACAGCCTAATGCTGGGGACCCCTGTCAGTGAGAAATCAGAAAAAATATGATTTTGGAAGCATGTTGTCATAGGAAGCTTACTTTTCATTACATTGAACCTGAATGCAGTTTTAATAAACTTTTCTCTTGTTCCCTTAATTACCCTCTTTCCAACCAAGAGGATAAACTTATCACATAGTCCTAGCTAGGAATGAAGCACATTAGTGCAGGACTTAAACCTTTGAGAATTGCACTTCTACAGAAGATAAGCAGGACAAGACAGACAACTCAAGCAGAACTGAGCATGCATTCCTTAAGGTAACTGTATGTATTTCAGGTTATTTAAACTGAGTTATACTATTTGATCCATGTTGCATGATTCCTATCAAAGATGCAGTAACAATTTTTACTCCTGCTTAACATTTTCATTATGAGAAAAAGATCAAATCTGAAAGCACAGATTAGTCTAAAAATAAAAAGCATAATGAAGTTAACTAATATTTCCAAGGGTGCCCAAGAGGCAATTCTTTCAAGCACCTCTGAAATTTCCAGCTGATCAGATGGATGAATTAATGGTCTGCAAAATCTTTGGTCTTGTCAGCAGCCAGAAGAGCCTGCCTCAGTTACAGATCTGCTGAATTTACTCAATAACCTGCTACGAACAGGTAGGGGCTGCAATCAATCCCTGGCCATAGAAGTCATATGGACTGAAATCACATTTATGGTATGGCACATACATCAGTTCCTTGTGGGAAAGGGTTCCAATTTCTCTAGGATGCCTTGCAAGGCAGTGAGAATAGAAAGCTTTTTTTTTTTTCTTAGTGTTAAAATTCAAAACACACAGCCTCCACAAACTGCACAGATACAGTTCTTGCCTTCTTAGACTACAGGCAGGAGAGAGTCATAGAAAATGGATTGCTGGCTCTGAGTGCACAGAATCCATAGCAAGTGGCTGAATGCATGCTATATATACATGGGAGACTAAGGGGAAGAGGAGTGCACATTCCATGCATGGTTACAGTCACATAAAAGATGTTGCTAGAATTTTGTTTGCTTGTTTTACACAAGACAGATTTTTCCTGAAGTTTCCTGGGTGAGCTCCTCCCACTGACAGCACAGCTCCCATGCTATTAGGCATCCTTCATGTGGTGAACCAGTGACAGTGACCACAAGCATTTCATCTACATAGTCTGAAAATAAAGTGCTAGGAAACACTAGACTTTACATAAACAGTCACCCTACAGCAGACTTCAGGAAAGATGGTTAGGGAACAAAACCCAACAAAATGACTGCACACCCTGCATGGCTCTATAAAAAGCAGACATTTTCCTCCTCCTCAGAGCACCTTTTACTCACAGATGCAAAGGGAACGGAGATGCATTTGCCAAAACATAGTACCAGGTTCAATAGAAGCCACTACAGTCACTGACTTCTTTGTTAAAGCACCCTGAGTGCTGTTAGCACCAAACGACTTCTGCTAAGATCTGCTTCATGACAGCAAGAAAAGGCTATTTAAAGATTTTAAAAGGAGTCAGGAAACTGTGCTGGATTTATGCTTTTACATTTATACTGAGGAAAAGCACAGTGACAAAAGAAGACAAATCATGAGAAAGCC